GGAGCTCCTAAAAGGGAGAGTCCAAGAAAAGCTGGAGCCAAAGGGGCACTGCGGACAGAGCACAGAGTTAACTAGTTCTGCCTACTTAGGAAATCTCTGGGTTGTCCAGGCAACCGGCCTCTTCCAGCATCTCTTAAACTCCCTCCAGATTGGTTCTTCAATCTCTTCGCTCTCCACAAACTCCAGATCTCAAACCCTAGATCCCTCTCTTAATGTCTGAGTCCAGAACATGTGCACTCTCAGCTCTCTGGACCCCACCTACCTGGACCTCAACCCTCTCACGCCCCTTCACTGGGACCCCCAGCTTACCCATCAACAGGAGAAGGGATGCCCTGGTCCTGATCATGACTGGAAAGTCAGATGTGGGCTTCCAAGCTCCTGAGCCACTGGTAAACTGCTAGATGTTACAAGGTGCCAAAGGAGCAAGTGAGCAGAGAGGTGGTCAAGAGGCTGGAGATAGAGAAGGAAGTTGTCAGAATGACTCAGAAGTGGAGGGCGGAGAGTGTGACTAAAACACGCAGAGAAGGGGGCCGAGGCAGCCCACACACTCCCGTCCAACAGATTGCTTTCTAGCTCCTCTGGCCTCGCCAATCTAGACTTGTGTTGGATGGGAAGCCCCTGCCCTGCCCCACCTCTCCCAGCTTCCCTTGTTGTTCTGGCCGAAGGTTCCCCTTGACCTTGAAGCTTCAGTTGGCCCGGGGAGAGGGAAAGGGCGGACGTCAGGGTGGGGTTAAGGCCTTAGTGGAGACAGGTGGGAATCCTCCACTTCTGGCCAAAAAGTCAAGGCCCTAGGCCCCAGGAGGAGTACAGAGTGGGTGTTCACGCATTATTCAACAAGCCTGAGTTTAGGCTGATTACACAAGCCCTCTGTTAGCAGAGAGAAAAAACTCAAGCCCAGCTGCAAGGCCCCGGCCCTGGGGTCAAGGAAGGCAAATGTGCAAACAGCAAGACTTCACCACCGGGGGAAACCCATTGACCACAGAGTACCTTCCCCAGGCTGGGAGGGGCAGGTCAGAGAAGGCATCCTGGAGGAGGCTGCACTTGAGGTAAGTCTTGAAGGTACCTGACTACAGAGGAGCGTGTTTCAGAAGGGGTGGCCAGATGTGCCAGAGGCATGAAACAGGAGGGACTTTGGGGAAATTGGTGATGTCAACCAGAGCGTGAGCGGTGGGAAGGAGCAAGAGATGAGGTCAGTGCCTTGGGGGAGAAGAGGAAGGGGAAACAGGCCTGCGCCACAAAGCCCACCTAAGGCATGTGACTATCCTGAGGGCAGAGGGAAGCGTTGATCTTCACATTTATATTTTAGGAAGCTAGAAAGAGGGGTTGTTGAGGCACGGTTTCATTGGGAAATAGCCAGAGACAGATCAGTCAGGAGAGAGGTGATGGGGACCTGTGGAGTGAGCTCGTGGCCACGGGGATGGACTGGAAGGTGACTGGTCACTGAATGGAGGATGGTGGTGATGGTCCCTGAGCAAGAGGGTACTGGAGGAGGGCAGGGGGGGTGGGCTAGACCAACTTTGGTTTTGAGAAAACCAAAGCATAGTGGTTAAGAGCTTGGTCTAAGCGTCAGTTTCCTCATCTCCAAAATTGGGGTGATAATAAAAGGATGCCCCGTCTGTTGTTGCTGGGAGGTTGAGTCAGTAAGTGTGAGAGCCTCACTCACTGGCTGTTATCATCACGGAGCGCTGATGATGTTGCATGAGGTAAGAGGGACCTGAAGGGCTCCGGGGGGCAGTTGCATGTGTGGGGCTGGACCTCAGGAGAAAAGTCTGGGTTGGAGATGAGTTCTGGAACCATCAGCAGAAGTGCTGGAGGAGATCCCGGTGGGAGTGTGAAGAGGGTGGAGGAGATGTGCCTGGGGTGAGTCTCAGGGCACCTGCGGAGGCTAGGAAGGAACGAGGGCGTCGTGGAAGGGCACCTAGAGGGGGTGGGGCGGCGTCAGCGGCTGCGGACATCGGACATCGAGTGAGGTAAGAAAGGAGGGCGTCCTGAGATCTGGCAGCAGAGGCTGCTGGTGGCCCTGCCGTGCCAGCTGCCAGCTGCCAGATGCCAGGTGCCAGCTGCCAGCTGCCAGCCTGGGGGGGAGGTGCTGGGGATCACGAATGTGGGCAGCGTCATTTCCTGGAGGCAAGCAGCCCCGAAGGCCTCAGATGGCGTGGATAGGGGAAGGTCCTGAAATTCTTAGACATGAAGAAAATTAGAGAGAGAGAGAAAGGTGGGCCTGGGGGTGGTCAATTCTAACAAGGAAATGGTGGCAGGAAAAAACAGTAAGAGAAGGAAGTACTCAGATCCTGGAGGGTACTGGCTCTGAAACAGAAATTACCCAACCGCAAGCCTGAGGCAAGAGCTGGTGTAACGGACAGGTAGGACCAGGGAGGCCTCCCGCCTTGAAGGAGCCTTGAGTCCCAGGCTTTCCGTCGCTCCCTTTCCTCAGATGGGGGTTCCACACTTGGTGGGTGAAGGGGGACAAGACAAGAATACTGGAAGAATGACAGTTCATCTCCTCTCTCAAGCTGCCCAACATACTTCCATGATACTTTAGAGAAAAATCAAGGTAAGACACTGCACCTTTGGCAAGAGTAGCTTAGAGCATAAGAGTGTAAAGCAGGATGTATCCTTAATTCAACCCACCCATTTTACAGACGAGGGCACTGAGGCTCCAGCCAGGACCTTGGGTGTCTAAAACTCATTGCCCCGTTTCAGTGAATCACGACTGACATTTCCAGAAGGATGGCAGCTAAGGGGGGTGACATAAGCAAGGAAGGGCAGACACCCACGTTATGCATCACCTCAGCCCAGCGGACTCATGAGTCAGTGTCATGTCCAGATCTGTCCATCTGGTACCCCTAGGGTGTTCAGAGCCAGGCAGGGCCTGTGGCAAGAGGTCAAAGGCCAAGGTCTGCAGAAGTCTGGAAAGCAGTCAGCCTTTCCCACTGCTGGCATTTCTGACTTACTAAGTTTCTGCCCGGAGATCCTGACTGAATACGGTCGTGGGGGAGGGACTGCATCTGATCTGCCACTTACTGGAGGTAAGGGTGGGAGGTGAAGAAACGAGGACGGAAGCTGATTTGATTCAGGTCTGACTTGCCAGAGTAAAGTGGAACTGAAGAATTTGGGGTCTGTCTCCTGGAGCGTTTCTTTTCTTTTCCAGAATCTGGTGTGTAGTAACCCCGGGATTTCTACCCATTTCCGCCCAACACCCTCCCTCAGGGCCCGAACAATCTTCCCAAACGTTTCTGGCCCTCCTCTTACTACATGTCTCACTTCTCTGTTTGTAAAGGACAGTTCCCCACCTCACCCCCAAAATTTCTCAGAACAGAATTTATTGTAATTCTATGGTGTAAAAACACACACATGCGTAGGTGCTCAGGAAGAGGCCCTTCCCAAAGCATCTGGCCCTCCCTGCACTCCAGGGCCCCCGCACGGAGTCTGCTGTGGTGGGTGATCTGGGAGCGCTGTAGGATTCTCGTTGGTCGTTGGGGAGCTTGGGACATAGAAGGGAGAAGCAGGCAGAGGGCAATGGCGATGGCAGATCAAGGGAGCTGGGGTAACACCAACATTTATATCACTGTGCATTTTGCGTCTATTAGCTTCTTGAATCCTCACAATAGTCCTTTGGGGTGGGAGGGGTCTGCTATTACCCCCATTTTACAGATGCAGAATTAAGGCACAGAGAAGTTGAGTCATTTGCCTCAGGTTGCCCAGCTGGTACAGGTTTCAAGGCAGAGGCAGTGAAGTGTTATCCACACTGCTGATGATCTTACCCCCTCCTCTCTACACCACTGCTGCAATTGTTATAAGCTGAGAGTCAACAGTCTTCTTTAGTGAAGAGTAAAAGGGGACATCCTTTCACAAGAGCTCATGGAGAGCAGATGTTTATTCATCCCTGTCTCTCCAAGGATGGGAATTAGACCTGGAGCAGACACAACTAGGGTCATACATGTCTGCTGGGCACGTGGATGGATGGGCAATGGGAGGGTAAGTGAGTTGGTGTTTGGACAAGTGGATAGATGGGTGGGTTGATGGAAGGATGCATGGATGGGTGGGTAAGTAGGGGGTGGATGGGTGAGTAAAAAGGTAGCTGGGTTGTTCTTGCCTCAACTCCCACAGCTGGCAAGTGACGTGGCCAGAAGGAGAACACAGTGCTTAATTTGTACGTCAATTCTATGAACTAGAGACAGAGGAGAAAAGGGGAAGTAAAAGTAAATCACTGGGAACAGGGAGAGAGAGAAGAGAAGAGAGAATTGAAACAAGGTGGCTTGAAGTGTTGGTGACAGGCTTTACCTCCTCTGGGTGTCCCTTGGAGAGGACACTCAGACCTTCCATCTAAAGGCCCCATGGTGCAGCCCACAGACCAGAGCGAGCAGACCTAGGCTGGAGCCCGAGCCATGGGGTCCGCCTGACCTTGCACAAGTTAACTAATCATCGGTATTCTCTTCTGCAAAATGGAAACAATAGCACCCACCTCACTGGGCAGGCGTGAAGGGTTTCATGAGAACCGGATGAAGAACTGAAAGGTAGGACGTCTGCAGCCCTGTCTGAGTTACAGTCTGGAGAGGACACGCCTCAAAATAACACGCACGGAGCCATGAGCAATGGGACGAAGCCACCTGAACTGCAACGTGTAGGGCAGGACGCCCTTGAACCTGCCCGTGGCTTCCTGCCTGCTCCACTCTGTAATTCAAAAGACAGACAATCCCGGATTATAATGTAAGTGCAAGAAAGGACCTCAGAGATCTAGCTGTCCTTCCAATGACTATTCTCATATTTCTCTGGAGATGCTAAATATTATATCGTTTTCAAAAAAAATTTCCCCTTGACTTTGACAGTGCCTTAAACACAGGGGAACTGCGGTTCTGGTTTACAAACATTGTCCCAGCATAAGGATTACCGGGACCCCCCCCTTCTCCAGAGTTGCCCTGCCTGGGAGTAGTGAGCTGAGGTAGGCAGCCTGTGTCTGAGCCATGTGGGGAGAATCTGAAAGCTGCCACAGGCTTCTTGACCAGGAGCTGCTACTCTCCCTGGAAGAGCACCCCTCTCGTGCCACACACGTGTACCACTTCCCCTTTCCAGGTCTGTACAAGATATAGCATTTGTAAAATGCTGCCAGCTCCCTTAAAAAAAAAATCTGTAAATGCAGAAGAGGTTCCCTTCCTACTACTGCAAGATGAACCTGGCCCCCTTGGTTCATTAGCGAGTGTCCATGGAGCACCTACTTACTCAGTGCCAAACATCACAGCCAGGACAACGAAACACGTAAACTCGAGCATGTGATCAGATCGCATTGAGGGGTGTAAGAAAACAAAATGACACAATGGGCCACAGTTCGTTAGAACGGCAGCCACC